CTGCAAAATCTAGAATGTGCTCATCACCACCCATAGATTAGACTAAAGCAAGCCCACCCCCAGAGAGGCCCCTCCAGATAGCACATGTGAGAACGTGGCCTCTTTTCCCCTTCCTCCGTGGCCAACAACCACCGATTCCACCGCTGGCCTTTGTCCTGAGTACCAACTGGATTCATTCTTACTCATGTAAATGTGAACAAGCTTTCGTATGAATTTCCATACCAGAAAAGTCTGCTCATTAAACACAAAGCATCATTTTAATCAGAGGCTTTTTCCCCCCCATCTCAGACGTGATCAAGAAGAAATGTGAAAAATAATTATTTTTCTTTTTGCATAGAATCTATTAGCAGTTTAACATTGACTTTTGCTAAAAATGAGCAAAATAGTGATTTGGGGGGAAATGGAAAGTAAAGATTTTTCCTGCATCAAAATATTAGGATTCCTTAGCTGACTCCAAGAAGATGGATAAAATGATGGCCATAATGGCTGAATTACTGAGAAAGAAAAATACATTATACAAAGACCAGCGAACGGGGCGGGAGAGAAAGGTCTGTACGGCTTGGCTGCTGAAGGACATTTATCCTCATGCCAGCACTAAGTGCTCCTCCCAATGAATAAACCATATGTCCGTTTTTATGTGCTTCCTTTCACCGAGATCCTGCTACTTCACAATATTCCCTTTGTCCTGGGCTCTGCCGCATCATCTCCCACCCTACCCCCAACCCCCTGGGTCCCCCATCCATAACTTTACCTCCTTAGGTAATCAGCACTTGTGCCCAAGTTCCCAACTTGAACATCTGCTACCTGGAGGAGCAGAGGGGGGCGAGGGGGGAGGCGGGAGAATCACCTCATTGCCTAACATCCTCCAGGGCAAAAGGTTTAAAGGATTCAGCATCCTCAAAAACCAACCGAAGGGTGTGGGATAGCAAAGGTGGGGGGGGGGGGGGTACCTTTCTTTTCCAGCTCAGTAAGTTCTAAATTCTAGCTATACAAAGATTAAATGAATAACACTTTAAAAATTCCTCAGTGCAAGCAATTTCAGCTTTACTAACAAAGTACTGTCTTTCTTATGTACAGACAGGGACCCACACATTATTTTATTTCATTTTTGCCACTGTCCCCTTTTCAATAGATGAATATATAGAGAAAACAAAATGCCAATATTTCCCCTATTTCTCTTGAATAGTTTTCTCTTTTCTTTCTGTCCCAAAACACTTCCTTCACTGAAAGATAAGGAAATATTTTCACTGAGTTAAAGTGAACCCTGTGTTAAAACAATGTGCCTGAATCCAACCAGAACCCATTTTTTTAAACTTTATTTTAACCTTGGGTCAGCAGCTCTCCCAGGCCCACTCACGCCAATCAGCAGGCTCTTCCTGAACTCCCATCGCCATATACCTTTGCCCTCGGGCTTTTACTAGTCCATTTCCTTGATATGCTTGCACTTAATTTGATTCCATCCTTTATGCTTCTTCCATTATTCTTAGTTCATCCACACCACATAAATTATCGCCTTTGTTTGCAGTTCCCCATGTGCCCCATTCACACCAATTCCAAATAAATACTTCTGATTCTCATCCACTTAATCCAAATTAATTCATATTCCCGCTCCCTGTCCCTCATCCCCACCTCTGCCTCTCCTGTCTGTTTCTCTGCCTTACAGCAGCGACTCTTCCCTCCAAGGTTGGCTCCGAGGATGCCAGGCGATTTCTTCCTATGTTGTCTTAGCAAAGCCCTGGTCTGCATCAGTGACAACACCAATGGCCAGTGCTTGCATGTCCGGTCTCACCCTCCACAACCAGTGTCTAGGAACATCGTTAGCCCCACACAGAGAGTGGGGGAGTGAGGGCAGAAAAGCTCCTTGCTCTTTGCCTATATTTAACGTTGGCTAAGTGACTTAAAGTCATGGGGCTTTATTTTCATGCAGTCATCACTAATCAATATCAATAGCAATAGTAACATCTCCAACTAACCACCTGCTATCTATAATAATAAAAGCGTAATATTAATATACAAATCTACCAAATGGCCAAACAGCAGAACAACCTTCAGGACAACCTCCCAGATGAAGCCGGGGCTGTGAGGGCCTACTCTTTTATTTTATTTTTTTATTTTTTTATTATTGTCTAAAGTTTTACACTTGTCTCCTTTTTCCCCAATTGACACCTCCCAACCATTCCCACCGCCCAAGCAAGCCCCCACCGCCCCAGTGTCTGTGTCCATTGGTTATGCTAATCTGCATGAATACAAGTCCTTTGGTTGATCTCTAACCCCCCCCCCTACCATTTCTCTCTAAATCGATCCATTCTTGTTCATCAAATTATGTTGATCATTATATCCCACATATGAATGAGATCATGTGATATTTATCTTTCTCTAACTGGCTTATTTCACTTAGCATAATGTTCTCCAGCTCCATCCATGTTGTAGAAACCATAAAAATCCTACAAGACTTCATAGGCAGCAAAATAGCAGACATTTGTTGCAGCAATATCTTTACAGACACAGGTCCTAGGGCAATGGAGACTAAGGAAAAAATAAACAAATGGGATTATATCAAAATGAAGGCCTACTCTTGCACAAATTTCATGCATCGGGCCTCTAGTCTTTAAATAAGCTTTTACAATTATTTTGCATATAGTTTCTCATTTAATCTTCAAAGCAATCTAGGAGGTGAACATAGCTGTCCCTATCATACAGATAAAGAAGATGAGACTCAGTGAAGATAAATAACTTATCCAGGTCATAAATCCAGGAAGTGGTAGGGCCAGAGCTCAAACCCAAGTCTAGCTGCCTACAAAGCCCTGCTCTCAGCCATTCTGCTCCACTGCCTTTCCAATAATGCATGGTGTCTCCCTGCGCGACTCCCCAATGTGGAGGAGTCCACCACATAGCCTACATAAGTGGACATAGGTGCTGGGGAACATCGTGAGCTCCACTTTGATGATCACCAAGTACATAATGCCCCCCAAGCAAAGCACCAAATACCACAACACTCTGTCCTTTTGGAGAGAAGGGATTAAAAAAAAGGAAAACATGCTCTGGGCTCCCTCTCCCCCAGAAGGAATCTCTGCTTCCCTGGGGCTGTCCAGCCACCACTCGAGACAGGAAATAGCCTGTCTTAGTGTCAATCATTCAGAAATGTGTCCACCAGCATGCACTCCACACCCCAAACAAAACCGGACATCCTCACCTCATCCTGCCTTCTCTAGTTTCCTGTGGGGAGCGGGAGATGAGTCACTACTGAAGTATGGAACACTGCAATGTCTTGTCATTGCTTGACTCATTGAACTTGAGAAGGAAACAACCTTCAGGACAGTATCGGGGAGAAATGACGCTGACAATAGGAAGCCTTCGCCTCGGTGTACGTGGAGTGGAGAACTTGAACCCAAACTCTGACGGGCAACCGTGACTGGGACTCTGTACCTGAGTTCCCAGGGCTCAGAAGTTATGCTAGGAGACCTTCCCATGAACCAAGCAAGAGCCAAGGGGGATTAAGCACAGAACTGGAGGGGTGCATGCCCAAGTCCAGTGCTGAGAGGAAGCAATGTCAGGCCCCTCCTCCTCCCGTGGGAATACTGCAAGTCCGCGGTTCAAAACAGTGACTTCTTCTGGCCACCTTGTACATCTCTGTTCAGGAAAGTTCCTCCGAACCAAACAAAGGCATTCCACAGGCCCCGGGGCAGGAGAGCCAGATCACAGGACAGCTGTGGACAATGAGGCCCAGGAGGTAATGAGACCCATTCAAGGACACTGAGCCAGTACGTGGCAGAGTTAGAACAAGAACCCAGGTTTTCTGCTTTTCCAGCCAACGAACTTGGCGCGGCACACCCCCTTGGGGGCACAGACCACACACCAGCCAAGAGCACGGGGAAGACAAGCAGGGAGCCCAGAAAGAACTCTCGCCAGACTCCTCCTATCTTAGGTTTATCACCCGCTTCTCTCTCAACAGTACTTATTCTGTTGTTAGATGTTTGGAGGCTTCCCTATTCAGCTTATACTGTGCAAGCCCACAGGCAAAGACCATACAGGCAACACGCTCCCAGGAACTCATGTAAAAGCCACCAACAACAGTCATTGCTCCGAGGATGCTACCACTGAGAAGAGACGCCAGCCGTAAGCTTCCCTCTCAGAGCAGAGAACAAAGACCGGTTCCAAGGGAAACGCCGATGTCAGCTTTTCCTCTGTAAATCCCACTCTTCCGCAGGACCCCATTTGCTCCGAAGATCAATCCGATGCCTGGGAGTCCCTACACGCGTCCCGAGGAAAACACAGAGTCCCCACCCGCCCCCCACCACACACACAGCAATGCAATCACTCCAGCAACTCCTCAGTAACAAGCTCATTAAAAAGCCATTCCGCCATCTCGCCATAAAGCATGCGCCAGAGAACAATGCGAAAGAGGAGATGCCAATTAATTATAGAATGATCGCGTCTAATGAACTCTGAAACCCTCCTGCTGTCGGTGACTTTGATGAAAAATCAGGGATGCTGGGGGAAAGAGGGAACGGGGACACCCCGGCCTGCTTGTTTAACTGTGAATTCTTTCCAATGCACCTCCTCAGATGCAGCCTGCAGAACTACACTCACAACACAATGGCAAGTGTCAGAGAGTGACAGGCGCACGTGTCACCGAGGGCTGTGAGTCACTACCCGCTCCGGCATCCTGGGGACGGCTGGATTCTATGCTGCGGTTGGCATGGCCTCTGAACGGATCTCCCAGCCCAAGAGGGACACCCCCTTCTCTCTCAACCTTCCCATGAACCAAGCAAGAGCCACGGGGGATTAAGCACAGAACTGGAGGGGTGCTTGTGTGTGCCCAGGACATCTGCAGATCTCCAGGCGGCAAGGGAGTCATGTGCGTCCCCACCCGGGCCCCCCTGCCTCTCTGTCACCTCCCAGTTGGCAGCGGTGCCACTTCTTGGAGCAGAGAGAAGCCCTTCCCACCGGGAGGCTAAGGGAGGAGAGAGAAGCAGCCACGTGCGGCCGACTTGTACCACTACCTGTGTGAGTCCTCTGGTGGGCCTTTAGGTGGGAGCTCTTTGTGTACACTTTCCGGCACCCGTTAAACTGACAGCGGTGGACCCTCTTCTTGTTTTCGGGGCACGCCTCGGCCCCCGCCCCGCCTTGTTCGCTGTCGCTCTGGCTCTGTCCACTCTTAACCGTCCCGGCTGCCGCCACGGCTGCTGCCGCCGTGGCCACCCCTCCCACCTTCACGGAGCCGAGCGCAGCCTTCTTGGCCACCAGTTTCAACGTCACCGTGCCATCCACGGCCGAGAGGGTCTGTGAGGTTTTGACCAGATGGCGGCTGAGCTCGGGGGACGACGGGGGCGTTAGTGAGGTCACTGCGTTGAGCTGGGCCTGGTTGACGGCTGTGTAGCTGTCCAGGGAAGAGCTGGTGGGCTGGAGGCTGAGGCAGGTCTCCGAGAGCAACTTGTCCCGAGAGAGCAGAATGTCCACGGCCGAGCTCTTCTCGCAGATGGCCGCCTCCACGGGGAGCAGCAGGGGGTCCAGGCGCCGGAAGCTCTCCTCGATGCACGGGGGAGGAGAAGCCCGCAGGAAACAGTCCAGGTCCTCGCCGAAGGTCTCCGAGATCCTCCTGGGCTCCGTCTGCAGGTAGCGCTCCAATTCAAGGCATGTCTGCGGGAGGGGGGGAGAGAAACAGCTATCAGAGGCAAAGAACACCAGGAGGCCACATGTTGACAGGCACAGGAGGGAGACTCAAAGACACGGACAACGGCTTCATGGCTCGGATGTGAAGTTCTCCCAAGGAAAGGTATGGCCTTGTTATCCACTCCCTGAGTGCTCCTGACGGGTTCATAAGGTCACATTCTATGGGTTCAACTACTAGAATCGATGGGAAGCGAGGGGCCCAGAAGGGCCATCTCACACCATCAAGATCTCAGAGAACATTCAATGTCAAAATGGTCTCCTGCCCCACCATCCACCTCGGCAGGTGAGAGCCTCCCTAGGAGTTCCCATCCGAGCACGAAGCAACGGAATCAGGCAAGGTTTTCACACCAAGACAAGACTCCCCAGTGCAGCTTCCTTTCTCAACCAGCTGAGCGAATCACAAAACTAAGCCCGTTTCCAGCTTGCTCTTGAAGAACAATGCGTGTCCACCCAAACTAAGCGGTGACCTAAGGCACACGCAGCCCACATCAAGGCCTGCCTGGAGCATGGATTGCCTAACCATCAGGAACGTTCTAAAAGAATGCCTTTATAACTTTTTTAAAATTAATTTCTTTATTGATTAAGGTATCACATATTTGTTCTCAACCCCTCATTCCAATCTACCTCCCCCCCACTCATGCCTCCACCCCCTATTGTCTTTGACCACTGGTTAGGTTCATATATGTGCACATAAGTCCTTTGGTTGATCTCTCCCTTTGTACAAGACAAAACCCTGTGTTTACAGTAAGTTATTAAAAATACAATTGCTACCTACTCTGTAGCAAGGAGCACGAGTCCATTACCATGGTTTAACATCTCTATGAGATAAAAATAAGTTCAAACACAGCTATTTGACTGGTCAATGATAAAACCCAATCTAATTTCAACATAAAGCTTCCACCTGGGAGAGAAAAGGGGATGAGAAGTCCCGAGTCTCAAAGTCTGCCAGAATCTTGTACAAAAAACCATGGTGCTAACTTACACCAGTTCAATTTGTTCTAACTCCTGGACTTCAACAAAGAAATACCGACAGCAAATTTAAAAATGTGCCTTCACAGAGCTTCTCTGTTTTCAACCCATGTTTTGACTGTAGGGCTTTTATTCTGTTAAGAATATGTTTTAATGATATACCTAGTTGTGTTGTATCTGTCAAAGATTTTACTGTGGTGACATTTCAAAGGATTGGTTTTGTAATCAACCTCTGGTAAAACTCTGCATTACTGAATAAGAAAAACATATTTTTTAGCTATGATTCACCTTTGGGTCCCACTACTGGTTTTTAATCGTATAAACCAACGACTGGTTCCAGCCTTCATTCAACACTCATGTCACAAGTGTTCATTCAACTACAAGTGTCCACAGCAAGGTGCAAGGTTCTCTGTGTGTTAGAATGAGACAGTAGTAGGTCCATGTGACGCAAGGACAGAATAAACAATCACAAGCTAAAAATGACATGAGTTTACAAAGCAAGGTGATAGCAAGTAACATAATAAAGTGTGGTGATGAGTTCTTGGGGGACGAATAGGCAAGGAATGCTACACTCTATAATGTGGAGGTATTAATCAAGGAAAGCTTATTGGAGAAGTAACTTTTCATTCTATTTTATTTATTAAGTAATAGCTCTTGCCAAGTAGCTTCCAATCACTTTATATCTGAAAACAGCACTTCCACCTTCTCAGGCTAGAAATCTGCATTCTCCTCACTTGCCCCTTTTCTGAATTCCATGTCTCAGAAATTGCCCTTTCCTTTCTCTATCTCATTACTGGAAATTATAGCTTTATTCTCTCCAGTAGTAAAGCCCTCAGTGTTAGCTCTAGTCAGTTCACTTCTGAATGAAAAGATCTTACTCCTGAAAGCTCCCCTTCTCTTTTCAAGCCATCACCTCCCAAGCACAGTGTCTGGCACTCGACAGGTACATAATGACTAGCAAACATAAAATCAACTTTTACTTTAGTCATGCTACTTTACTCTGATCTACGCAAAACCATCTGCTGACATCCTATCCCGGGCCCAGCAATCCTAGGAATGGTCACCAGTGCATGTGTTCTGGGACAACTGTAGTGCTTCTTCAGCTCTGCCCAAAGGGCAGGACCAGACCTTTGAGACACAGTATCTTCCAAGTAAAAATCGGCTGAATCCTGGGTTATAAGTGGTACTTGAGGCAGTTCCCTGACTCACACACACCCCCAGTCACCACTGTCTATAGATAGAGCTTTTGTATGCCATGTGCTCTTAATATTCTTTGTAGCTCAACTATTTGAAAGTCCCTAAGAATTGCTGTGATTGTTAGAAAGCTCGTTATCTCTTGGTGTTCAGACTTCTGAGGAACTGAGATATTCTCCACACATTTACATATTCTTCTGGGAGGATTTAAAAATAACCTATCTGCCCTAGCTGGTTTGGCTCCGTGGATAGAGTGTTGGCCTGGGGACTGAAGGGTCCAGGGTTCAATTCCAGTCAAGGGTACATGCCTGGGTTGTGGGCTCGATCCCCAGTAAGGGGCATGAAGGAGGCAGCCAATCAGTGATTCTCTCTCATCATTGATGTTTCTCTCTCTCCCTCTCCCTTCCTCTCTGAAATAAATAAAAATATATTTAAAAAATAATAATAAACTATCCAGTGCGGCATAGTTTGAGTCCCAAGTGAATATGAGTCACACTAATGATCTCAATATAAAGGAAAATCTGGACCACTTATAAGAGGCTATCACTTGTAATCCTAATACAGGACATTCTTATTCCATCTAAGAATTATAAAAGCATGAGTAACCATTAGGGTATACTGATAGGCCTATGAAATCACTGTGGAATAATTTTTGTCTTAAGAAATCTACTTCTTGTAATATCTGCTAAAGATAAAGCTTAGATAGAGAAGAAGATTTGTCAATCAGAAACCCATAAAAAAATGTTGGAAATGGAAATGTTAAGAATGAGGAGGGTCTTAATTTTAGATTATTTCTAAGCCAATGAAAAAGTTTGTCTCCAATATTCTTTTTTAATTATCATAAGAACTCCCTTAAGAAATGCCTATGATGTTTAATTAGAATTTTAGGCATCATTATTTATACACAGATTTTAATACACCCACATAGAAATAAATGTATATATACATATATGAGTCTATACACTATATTGTCTAAGGGAAGAATCTACAAGCAAAGACACTCCACAAGCAATGAGAACACCTGGCACCGTGATCTTGGTTTTTAAATATCATTATCCAATAAAGGAAGCAGGACTCCTTGGAGAAATAGTTGATTCAAAGTCTGGGACAAAGAATAGGAAAGATGAGCCTAGACTATCTTTTGGTACCAGAAAGCAAGGAAGTGCTCATAAAGTGATGGAGGTATGTCAAAACCACTCGGGAGCCAGCTTGAAGGATCTCTGAATGGCCAATTCTGGACACTATGAACAACAAAAATGAATGATGGCAGTAATGGATGCTAACCCATGGAATAAAATGAATATCTATGAGTCCATGTTGATATAAATAAATAACTGGATAAATAAACAGATAAAGAAGGGCCAGCTCCTTGTTACAGTAAAATTACAATTAATAAACATAGAAGGCAGGATGGAAATAGAAAAATCTTCATTAGGCAAATGACAATGTAATAATGACTATAGGCAGGAATCAACAATGGATGTTAAAATTAGTAGACGGAAGTATAATGAGAAACAAGGTATTTGCCTCCTCTCAAAATGTATCCCCCAACAAATTATGAATTACAAAGACAAAAAATAATTTTACAGTAGAGAAACCTGGCATGTACCATCTTAACCATATGGTCAATGTTGGCAGCACTAGTAATAAGAAACATTTATATCATGCACTCTAATATGATAGGCCGACAAGGGCACAATATTTCCCTGTGTCCTTCCTGCTAAAAATAAATAACCTCAACCTAATCATGAGAAAACATCAGACCAATCCAAATTGAGGGGCATTTTACAAAGTAACTAGCCAGTATTCTTTAGAAGTACCAAGGTCATGCGAACAAGGGAAGATTGAGAAGCTGTCACAGACTGAAGGAGACTGGGGAGATATACATAACAACTAAATGCAATGGATCCTGGCCTGGATCCTGGATTTTGAAAAGGACATTGGTGGGGAAAATATGTATTTCAAATAAAGTATAGATGAGTTAATGGTATCATATCAATGTCAATTTCTTGGTTCTGATCATTATGCTTTGGTTATGTAACATGAGGGGAAGCTGAGCAAAGTGTAGATGGGAACTATATGCACTATTTTTTGCAACTTTTCTGTAAGTCTAAATGATTTCGAAAGAGAGAGAAAGGAAGAGAAGAAAACAACCCAACAGCAAACTAGGAGCATCTCCAGATTGTAAGTTTGGATATAGAATTCAAATGTTTGTCTACCAAAACCAACACTCTAAGCAAACTCCAAATCGGACTTGGCATATCTTAATGACAAATTATGTATGTCTAGTACCTCACCTTGGAGAAATTAAGCTTCCCTCAGCCTCACCTAACAATACAACTAAATGCTTGAGCCACTGGCTCAATCTTCACCCCCTCAAAATCCTTTAGAGTCAGCAATGGGAAGGAAATGTGCCCAGTACAAAGTGACCTTCTCAGTGAATCACAGATGAGCTTTTTGAAAGCTTTCTGATACCTTAACTTTGAAATGCATGGTTTCTTCTCCCAGTTTCCTAACAATATCACATGAAATTGGTTTTGAAATGATCATCCTGAAATCTTTTTAAATACCTTCTCCATTTTGTTCATAGCTTTATTACTAGTTGAATTGCTTATTAAAAGAGAAAATTCCTCTTTCCAACCCCCCCACTAACCCATCTTTATTATTTTCAACAATAAAGATAATTTTTTAAAGAGATAATCCAAGACCTAGGTGATTTTTGTTTGTTTGTTTGTTTGTTTTAAAGTTCAAACCTATTACTATCAGGCCTACTACTTCCATGATAGGTTTCAATGTCAGAAGTT